GATTTATCTGTTGTTTGGTTGGATGACTGCCTTACTCATGCTGCCCAATTTTTGTTCCATCACCTCGTTCTTCTTGCCCATCAAGCACGTGCAAATGTGCCTTCCTAGCAGTTTGGTTATTGACTCGGTGATGCTCTGAATTGATGAACATATTGAAGTTTGGGTAAACTAAAGTAGGATCCTGGTGAGTGCCATTTTTGCATAGTTGACCGCTCTGATGTTTGAGCATGATGCCCAGTAAGTAACTCCCGGACATAAAATGAAATCTTGTGCTGATTGGCCCTTCAGAACATGCCGATACAACAATGACGTCGTGTCCCAATTTACCGCTTCATTGCTTCATAATATATTGTGATACAAATGATAGTTTAAGGGCTAGTACTTATCAGCTGTACTGAATGCACAAATGTCATTAGCTATGCGCACGTGATACATACAAAGAGTGACATCTGTGTGCAGCAACAGTTTTTCATTCAGCTTCTAAAGCGAAATGCCTCTCTTTTTGAAGAGGTGCGGATAATATTTCGAGGAATGGTTGCACGTTGCAGCTTTAAATGACCTCGTGACATTACTGCATTCCCGGTGTACTCTTGACCGCATCATTGTGACTTAAGTGGTATGCGGGTGCATGCGCATGTCTGTCGGACACATCTAACCACCAAAATACATGGCCGCCATCTCGAGTAGCGACTTTTAACATGTCATCTAGCTTTTTAAATGCTTTTCAAACATTGAAACACTGCTCAAATTAAACTGCAGAATACATTGGAACAGCGAGTCTCACTGGAGGTGCTGATGGAGTAAAAGCGTGTGCATATTTAGAGCATATTTTGACAGGTAAGTAACTCTGTGACTTCTGGGTTTGATATCATGCGCACGTACAATCACTTATCGTATAAAAGGATACACCTTAGAAACTAAGGTGAACTAAATAAGCTAATTTTGTTCGATTAATTTATTTAACTCATTCTATTTTCTGAAAGCTAAGCGGAACCAACGCAATAATGCCGATGCAAGTGTTTGATATGCTCCTTCCACACCTATAAATAGAACAAGTTTAAGGAGCATTGGGAACGTGAAGTGAAAGAGCAGGCCAGAAAAAACAGAAGGCGCCTTGCCATGAATGTCTAAGGGATCATCAGAACGCGATGTGCGAATAATGGAGTTATCTGAGCAGCTAAAACAATTCCAAAGCACATTCTGCGGCTATCGCTCCACTTGGAAGTCCGATAGCTGCATGCATATTTAGGTTGCCCACCCAAGCCTAAGAATGTCGTCATCCAAACGTTGAGTTTCAAAACAGCGAGAGCATCGCTATCAGAGTACTTCAGTTGGACCAGAGTTTATAAGTAGAACGGACACATGATCCATCTGCGGATAGGGGTGAGCGAATTCGTTGAACAATGCTTTATCGATGCATGACATAAAGTCTGCCACGTTGAGATTGATTGTCTGTAACCCATGCCTTATGTTTGCCTAAAAGCAACTGGACTACCGATGTGAAGAAGCATATCCAAAATATACACTTTGGCTTGGGGGCGGTCAAGAAGTTAAACGTCGAATAGGCCAGCAGCACCATCAATAAGTACTTGTTAAGAAGAGGATTGAATTGGAGTGTTTGCGACACCACTCGACATTTAAGTGGCACAAAGAATGACGAGGTGAGATACTGCTTAACTCTACAGTAACTAGCTGATGTATTCCACATAATGTCGTTTCATCACTTGACTGATTTTGACGTTACTTGCACCATTAACATCATAATCAATATCACTCTGGTTACTGTAATCGCAAAAAGGCAATGCTTTTTCACAGCTGCATTAACGCAGCTGCCCTGTTAATCCCACCTTTAGCCATCTCCCTACTTTCCACTACTCAAAAAGGCCCATTTCTCAAAGTGGCTGCCACAGGTAATAATTTCATTTGCGGTAATCTGCAGCAAGCGGTTTAGCTTTACTAGAGTTCTTGAAGGTTCGTGAATTTTGCTTCTAGCATCTAGGAAAAAATACAAGTGCTGTGGGTAGTCGTATCGTCCTGCAGTTTTCTGTCACAGTAACTAAAATAGCCCATGTTCTTGGTGCAGGTGGTCGAGTCTGAGAGTACACAGCAATCACCCATGATGGAGCCTCTCTTGACCGATGGCATGGCATCACAGTGGCAATCACCCTCTTCACTGTCACCGTCACTGTTCAGCTATTCAAACTACCACCGCTAAACCAGGCGGGAACGTCAAATCATCGGCAAAAGGGTTAGGCCCCGAGACGTTTGGTAGTAGCGGCGTTAAACCCAGAGAGTGACCATATGTCTTGCCCTATACTAAATGGGGAACATGGCTGAAATCCAAGCTTGACTGTATTAAAGCAGATAGAAGCAGGGTGTTTTCTCCTAAGCCTCAGTTTAGATGGGGCAAAAGCTTGGC